TCTTATAGTTGAATAAACCTTATCTATCAGCTCACGCTCTCCCTGCCTTTCAACATGAAATAATACCATTATGTACTTAACCAAAATTTTAGTAAAAAAGCAGCTTTGTACATTTTTGTAAACAAATAAATATTTTAAACAAACAGTTTATTTTTAACGCCATTAACTTTAGTAAACATATCAATTCATTTAAGTTTATAATGTGTAGGGTTAAAAATAGATTTGACTGTGTTTTTTAGCATGACAAACGCGAGCAAACTTTATCACCCTTGTCAGTGCGCTCCTCCAATTTGGCAATTCGAGATCCAAATTGAATGGCCCGTTTCAGGTGTTGAGACGTTGCCTGCAAGCCAAGTCGACTGGCGAGAAGGCGAAGCAGCAGCTTCTCGCCCCTGCTGCGATCCAGATGGAGATTGCACTTCTGCCAGACGGGCAGTCCGTTGAGGAAGTTGATGACGGACTCGTCGAGGAAGGGAAAGCGAGCCTCAATGCCGTGGTCGGCGGTGATGCGGTCGTCTCGGCCGAGGTTGCGCGTCGAGATGCGCTCCACATCGGTGGTGATTTCGGCCACCAGGGCCGCCCAGTTGCTGCCGTTGCTTCCGTTGCCATTGCCATTTCCGTTTCCGCCACGGCCACTTCCAAATGCCTTTCGGTGTCGCGAGTATCCGGCCAGCTGTTCATCTGCGCCCATGCCCAGCAGCACCACCCGGGCGCGCGTCTGTCCGGTGAAGGTGGTAATCTCGCCGGGCTCCTGCATCAGCAGGCCCTTGCCGCGCGTGGCGAACCAGATGGCGCAGCCGATGCTGTCGTCGAGAACGGTCTGCAGCGGCTTCACTAGGTAGCGGATGTGTTTCGCCCGGTACGTCTCCAGCTCTTCTTTGCTGATGTGAATGGAGACGAAGTTCCATTTGCGCGAAGGTCGCAGCTGGCGGAGTTCCTCCCAGGCCCTCAGGCCGGTCTCCCGGTCGGGGGCGTCGTTGTTGAAGGCAACGTTGAGCAGGTCGATGGGCAGGTGGGCGGGCACGGAGGCGTCGGCGAGCAGGGCAATCACCGTCGAGTCGATGCCGCCGCTGAAGAGGATGGCCGTCGAGGCGTGGCAGCACTCGCGGAAGGTGATGCCGTTAATGGTCTTGCTGCCGCCGCCACCTATTTTTGGGTCCTTCTGCGGCTGCACTCCACTGCGAAGCTCGTCGTCTGATTCGGAAGAGTACGACCGATCCGATCCGCTGTTCTCACCGACCCGTTCGCTCTTTCGGACGTAGCGGGCGAAGCACTTTCGGCAGACGTCGTGGTGATTTCCGGTGCGCACCTTCACCGCGTCGGCCAGCACCTGCCCAAACTGGTCCGCCACCGAGGAGGGAATTGTAGAAAACGCCTGTTTCTCCAAGGTGCCCTCCAGTGCGGCGGAAGAGGCCAGTTTGGCGGCAGTGGCCTCGTCGGGCAGGGCACAGTTCAGAGGCACTGTGATGGGCGAGTGCAGTTGCAGCTCTTCGGGCAGACTGGTTTTGGCGGCCATTGGTTTTCCCGAGATGGAACGGCTCCAGGCGTAGTGGCGAACATTGCTGATCACCTCAGCCAGGTTGGGGTGGGCGCCAAACTCGAAGCAGTAAATGCCAAATGTGGGAATCTCCTCAAAGACCAAATCGGCGGGGTTGATTTTGCCGCCTAGCGGCTTAGCTGGTGGAGCTTCAGGCTGAACGTAGATTTGAGCCACGGAGGAGAAAAGCAGTATTTGATCTCGACTAAAAAACCCGTCAACAGTTAAAATAATCGTCAAAATAACATCCAAATACACACTTACAAATTAGTGTTCCAGCACAGACTTCGACGACCTAGAATGTCTCGGCCGACCCAAAGTCGCTTGGCACGATTGTCCCAGTAGGTGAAAGCCCACGGACCCTGAATGGAGCCAATGACGGCCAGCAGCTTCTCCACATCTTCAGCGCCGTTCAGAGCTTCGAGCAGCTGTTCAGTGTCCGACTGCTCGGCGTTCAGCTCTTGGTCAAGCCGGGCAAAAATTTGCCCATTCCACTGAAGAACTGAGCCAGTGTCCTCATTGGTGACCGGCTGGTTGGTGACATAGCAGCCGCGCAACTGCAACACTGAACTGAGCAAAGTGAAGGAGGCCACTGATTGATCTTCAAACTGGTGGCTCAAGTTGACCTTTTCAAAGTAATCAGGACCACGACGAGATAAATAGTAGTGAATGGTTTCATTTTTCAGAATCTGGTAATCAGAAATTAGTAAATGGTTAGTTAAAGTTAAAATACTTAAAACATCAAAACACTACTTACTTCTTTTGAGGTGGCAGCATTTGACTGATCGCAAATGCAAAGGAAAATACCGCACATTGCTGGGCAATGATTGAATACTTTTTAATCTAAAATAATAAAAACAGAAAATGTTACTATATGTTTTGTAAACAGAGTAAATATGACATTAAACAAGTTGAAGCCTGTTTGACAAACACAGATTTTAGAAACCTAAGAGTAATCCAGTTTATGCAACCGGTTTGGTTGAATGATAGTAAAGAATTAAAATTGAACTTAAATGCGTCATTAGATGTGCGATAATAAAAAGTACACTGAAAATACAACAAAAAAACTAATTTAAAACTAAAACAAAAAAATCACGCTAACAAAAAATGTTATTTAATTAAACAAAGCTAATATAAACGACAAAAACACATTCAAAAACGCTTAAAAATGTTTATTTACTCAAAAGAAAAGCGTTTAGATGCAGAGATATGAAAAAGTACATTCGAACTTGGAAACAAGTTTAAAAAAACAGAAACAACATCATCAGTTGGACATTTTTGTCAAATTAGCTCCTTCACAATGACGACTGCCTCTTAAATACTTTTTCGTTTCAACAGCATTCTTTCTGCGTGGACAGTTTTCAGACATCACGAGACATCAAATAACTCTGATGCCCAATTGCTGATAAGAAAGTCAGCATAAAAATGACCACAGACGGTGCTGTAGACAGAAGTGATTTCCAAGCTCTACACTTTTACCTCAGAGGGTTAACATCGGACTGTTGCCAGGAGGGTAAAGTCAAGAGAGAAAGTGAGAAGATACTACTACTGACAGTTTAAACAAGTTTAGAGAGTTAGGCAACGACTTTTGCTTTAAAAGAAACCTAACAGATAGCAAAAAAAAGCGAGTAAACACAAGTGGTTGGCAAAAATGACCGAAAAATGGTGATACGATGATGCAGAGCAGTTAATGCATAAGTTAATTGCAGGAAATGAAGTTACCGGCCGTGTAAACAATAAAGTTGACAAGAAAAAAGACAGCTAAATTGGCTGAAGAATAAAAGCTTTCAACTGTGTGCTGACAGTATCTGCCACACAACGGCTTTACAATTAATAAACTGATCAAAGAGGGGGAAGAGCATTGGCTGATTGCTAGACTGACGGTCATCAGTTTGCCACTTTTTATTGCTGTCAGACAAACACACTTTATCATTTAAAATTGATAAAGCAAAAGTCAACTTAAAAGAAGGAAATAACTGGTGGGGTCAAACTGCATGAACAGATACACTTGGTTTGAAAATAAACGCCACTTATGAAAATTCATATTTCCAAGTGAACCAACTCTTGTTGATAAGATTGTTAAAGTGATAACAAGACAAAATTAGTATTCTAAAAACTAATTTGTAAGTTAATGCACTAAATATGCACGCAAAATAAACGGGCAAAAGTTTAAATAAGTATATTTAGCAAACTGAAATTAGTAAAATTTAAATTGATAGAAAACTATAAATGCTAAAAACTCTAACAATTAAGTAAATGTAACTAACTAATCAAATTTGTTAAAATTAGTTTAAAAACTTGAAAATAAACTTGTTGAGAGAATAACAATTGAAAACATTTTCAACGTCAAGCGTGACTGTAAACATCGATTCAACTGAATGCACGAACAGTTAAGTTGTCTTTGGCAATTGTTGCATGCAAAAACATGCTTGCAAAGTCAATTGATATGTTGTCCTACTTCCCTAAAGTGCATCCACCTTAAACATTAAGATTGAGCAAGGAATTGCAAGCACACAACAAGTAGTAAAGAATTCAATTTCTTCCAAATGTTTGTTTAAACTTTCTGAAGCAAAACAACATGCACTTAAACTTAATGTTTTAAAAAGAAAATAATAAAATGATTTTAAGTGTGTAGGACAATTCTGTTTAGCAAAATATAATAACTTCTTGTTTAAACTAGACCTTAAAACTTAAAATCAAAACATGCATTTTACTTACACTTTTGGTACAGCAAAAACTGCTAAGAGATCAAGTTTAAAGACAGCTTTTCAAAACAACAGATCGGAAATCAACTATTTAGTAAACAAAAAAACAAATTAATTGTTGTTAAATATTTTAAACTTCTAGATTTAACAGCAATCAACAGTAAATCGTCAATAACAAAACCAAGTAAAAGAAAACAAATCAATACGGCAACTTTACTTACACAAAATTTGAAACTTCGCTGTCAACAGTGGAGAAGAGGCGGTACCAGCTGCCTAGACTTGAGGTGTTCAGTCGCGCAGAGGAACAGTACCGGCGGTCTCCGCCTTCACTAGCTGCCAAAATCTGCCAGGAAAAAAAGCTGCCACTGGGAAAAAGCCACCGCAAAGCGCAAGCAAAAGACAACAACAAACCGGCTGCTCTCCGGCAATCAGAGTGGCACGCTGGTGGTGGTGGCGGTGGCGGTGGCGCGCACTGGTCGCCCGAGTCGTGCGCCACCACCGTCGCCACTGTGCCGGTGGCGCTACCGTCGCCCAGCACACGCACACACACACACACACACACAGCCCACGTCACATTAGCAGCGGCAGCACTGGTGGTGGCTGTGGTGAGCGCTGGTGAGCAGTGAGTAAGCCAGTTCAGGCGTTGTGTGTGCAGTGCAGTGCCAGCATCAGCAGATTGGAGCAGCAGCAGCAGCAGCAGCGGACGGCAGTAAGTCTACGCAGGCAGACATGCCGAAGTGAGTGTCAGATAGGCCACCAACCGCAGCAGCACACGCCGACTGAGTGAACTCTCTTTCTCTCTCTCTCTCTCTCTCTCTGCACTGGCCAGCTCTTGGAACTTCACTGGCCGCTCTGATTCACTCTGCTGCCGAGCCGAGCCGTACCCGCAGCACTACCCGGCCGTTTTGGTCAATGTGGTGCTTGTTTGTTTGTTCCATTCTACTACCACCAACAAGTGGCCTGAAAAGGAGGTCTGCAAGTATACCTTATTGAGAGCTGGACTGACAGAAGCAGTAGCAGTCAGTGATTGCTGCAGTCTGCTGGTTGGCGCGACACTGCTACACTGCCACCGCACTGGCGCTGCTTACCACACGTCACAGAGTCTAAGAGTGTCCACATTGCCTGCTCTCTCTCTCCCTCTCTTTCTCTCTCTCTCTCTCTCTCTCTCCCTCTCTCCGAAGTCAATCAGTCAGTCAACGTGTCATCGGCAATCACCCATATTGCCGTTTGCCGTAATCTTCTTCAAATCGTTTGCGGCTCTTCTTCTTCTCCCCTGCCAATAATATCGATCCACTATTCAGCATAGCTCTGCTTACGTGTAGAGTGCAGAATTGGCCTACTGCTGCTGAAGAGTAGAGAGTTTTGCCGCCCTTGATCGCTGATTACATCAAGTCTTTTTCTCTTTTTTTCTCTTTCATTCTCTAACTGTAATTAGAAGTTGTTGTTTGCCTGGCGCCGACTTTTTTCTTTCATCCTTCTCACTCACCGCAACTCTCTGAATCTCGTTTGGCACATTTTTACAATTCAACTACTGGCGTAACACGTCGTTCAGGCAACACTTGTGAACTGAACTGAATTGTACAGAAAAGTCAAGTTCAAGTGGTCATGTAAAGTTTTGTCAATGTTACTTTAGTACAAGTAAGTTTTGAAATACCAATTTGACTTTTTCGTTTTACTAATTTGACTAACCTTTTTTGTTTTAGAATAGTTTGTTTATCTTATAATTTTGATATTTTCTCAACACCAACGTTCTCATTTTAATTTGTAAGTTTTTTATTAGTTTGTTTAAAAATTGCATCATAATTTTAAAAAATGCTAATAAAATAACCCTTTGTTTCAGATCAAAATGGCCGGAACCAAGTTTCAGTATGATGAAAGTGGCACCACTTTCTACTACTTTGTGCTAACATTCATGGCACTAGTGGTCATTCCAGTCACCTATTTTTACTGGCCGCGCAAAGAAAAACACGAAGAAGTGGAGACCACTAGTAAGAAAAAGAAATGCCATTGTGATGCTTGCGCCATGAAGCAGAATTACATGAAATCAAAAGAACCTACACAACAAGTGAAACAACGGTTTATGTAAGTAAAACTGTCTAGGTAATTGTTGGTACTGATCATATTTTAATGATGATTTGACCGTTTTTTTAGTAAAATCGGCATCATTATTTCCTGGATATTCCTGCTGGCATTCGCCTACAAGGTGGCCCACATTCAGCCGGATTACGTCACATTTGACCCGTTTGAAATTCTGGGCATTGACGCCGGTGCTTCAAAGGCGGAAATCAAGAAGGCCTACCACAAACTGTCGCTCGTCTACCACCCGGACAAGGAGACGGGCAATGAAAAACGTTTCATGAAGATCTCCAAAGCCTACGCCGCCCTGACGGACGAAGCTTCGCGGAAGAACTGGGAAGAGTACGGAAATCCGGACGGTCCGGGGGCGATGTCCTTCGGCATTGCCCTGCCCTCGTGGATCGTCGAGAAGGAGAACTCGATGATCGTGCTGATGGTGTACGTGCTGCTGCTGATGATCGCCATGCCCATCGGCGTGCGCATCTGGTGGGCGAACTCCTCCAAGTACGGCGGCGGCTTCAAGGTCCTGCTCGACACGTCGCAGCTCTTCTACTTCTACATCCACAAGACGCAGACGATGAACATGCACCGCGTGCTGAAGGTGATCAGCGGCGCCTTTGAGTTCAACAAGGAGCACAACGGCGAAATTGTGGAGCGGCCCTCCGACAACAAGGACATCCCCAAGCTGATCAAGGAGATCCCCGCCACGCCGCAGGTGCAGCTGATGCCTGACCAGCGCGACCCGCCCCTCTGCTTCCCCTACAGCATCAAGGCGCGGTCGCTGCTGTACGCCCACCTCCACCGCCTGCCCCTGCCGCAGACGACGCTGGACGTGGACAAGAAGTACATCCTCGCAAAGTGTCCCTACCTCATTCAGGAGTTCGTGCAGTGCGCCGCCCAGCTGACGCTGCTCGCCATCACGCGGCGCATTCAGCGGTCGCCCAGTCTGGAGACGATTGAGAACTCCATGAAGCTGAATGCGCTGCTCGTCCAGGCGTTGCCCGTCAACAAGAACCCGCTGCTGCAGCTGCCGCACGTCAACGAGGAGATGCTGCGGCACTTTAGCAATCGCAAGCGGAACATCCGCAACATGACGCAAGTGGCCCAGCTGGAGGACTCCGAGCGGCGGAACATGCTCCGGCAGCTGAGTGACGAGCAGTACGAGGACATTGTCGAGTTCCTCGGCCACCTCCCTCTCCTCGAGGTGGACGTCCGCTCGGAGGTGCTGGACGACGAGGACGGCGGGAAGATCACCGCCGGGGCGCTGGTCACCGTTACCGTCACCCTCACGCGGAAGGACATGTCGGCGGTCTTCAACAAGAGTGATTCCCCAGCGGTGGACGGCAGCGGCGGCGGAAATGCTGCTGTTGATGATGATGACGAGGATGAGGACGCCAACCAGGTGCAGAACAGCAACAACAAGCCAGCAGCAACTAAGCAGACCAAGGCAGTGTGGAGCAAGTCGAGCAATGCCAAGAGCAAGAAGAATAAGGGCAAGAAGAACAAACCGCCGCCGAATCGAGGTCGTCAGAATCAGAACAGACCTGGTCAGAGTGCTGCTCCTGCTCCCACGATTTCGGCGTCTTCTTCCACTGCGGTGACCAAATCGTCGCACTCTGAACACGGCGATGAGTCCAATGACGAGGCAGATGCGCACGGCTCGGGCAATGAATCAAGTGAGGTCGACTCGGAGGAGGAGATTGAGGGCGCCATCACCGAAAACGGCGGCGTCGGCCACCTGAACGCCGGCGACGACGACGACGAGAACGACTGGGATGATGACATCAAGCCGGACGTGCCGAAGAAGGACGTCTTCCAGGTGATGTCCAAGATTTCGCACAGCGTCCACTGCCCGTACTTTCCCGAGGACAAACAGGAGCACTGGTGGATCTACATCACCGAGCGGAAGAAGACGCTCAGTCTGATCACCGTGCCCTACTTCATGACCAATCTGGTGGAGAAGGAGGACGTCGAGCTGAAGTTCACCGCGCCGATGAAGCCCGGCTCGTACCAGTACACGGTCAATGTGAGATGTGATTCCTATGTCGATATGGACTATGACAAGCAAATTAAGGTGCGTATCTGCGCTGCTTGTTTTTAGCTAAACTCATCACTTCAATGCTAACTGTTAACTTTTGTTTGCAGATTGACGTTAAAGAAGCGCCCAAAGAAATTGAAACGCACCCTCAGTGGGAAATTTCCGAGGATGAAGAGGACCAGGATCAGGATGATGACAGTGCTGTCAGTGATTCGGATCTGGTAGAGAGCGACAATGATGATGATGACTCTGATGAGGCGGAAGATGATGAGGAGGAAAAGTAAACAACTGTCGTCTTTTTTTCTGGACTGCATTACCACTTTGTTAAAATACACCTTATCTTGTGCACTAATTTCTACTGAACACATTTACAAACAAAAACCACCATTCGCATCGCAAATAATTTTGTTTTTTCAATTCAATCAATCAATCTGAACCCTTTTTCTGTACAATTTATATTTTTTAATGTACATCTTTTTCTATGTAGATGTCTTGGCGTTAATTTGTTGACGCCAAAACGCTTTTCTGTCCAATGAAATTATTTCATTTTTGTTGATTTACATTTTTTTTCTTTATGTACAACTAGAACAATCAAACTCACAAATGTGTAAATCATAAATTTATTTCAAAACATTTAATAATGAACCTGTGTTTTGTGAAAAAATTGCAGCAATACCTGCTAAATGGGCTAATTGTACACCAAATCCGGTCATTTACTGCTTCAATTAAAAAAATTTGTTAACATTCTTTTTTGTAGTCAGTTACTGCTAAGTGTGAAGTATATAGTCAGAGTGCTTTTAGACTTAACATTGTTTTTTCGTTTTTAACAATCAGCTTCAATGTTTAATGCATTTAATCAATGTTTTTAGCATATAATAGATGTTTTAATGTTTTTGTCAAAGTTAACGATTAACTGATAAATTTAAATATTTTTTCAAATTTTTATTAGTTTAGTTTATGTTGTTTAAGTTTGAAAAACAACTGCTTTAACTTTATTGTCGCAAGTTTAAAATGAGTTTATGAGTTTATGAATTAGGAGTTTTTAAAACTTGTCAGTGTTATTGGCTAGTGTGGTTGTGACACTACATTGTTAATAACCAATAACTGCTGTGAGGGTATTTCGACCATGTTTTGCATTTATATCATGTTGGTTTTCTGAAAAACAGAACGGCACTCACGCACGGTCAATGTTTACCGAATTGCCTGGCTGTGTGTTTGTGTGCACGGTCTGCCAGTTGATCGCTTCCATGCGTAAACACAGGCCGGCGATAATGTTCAAAGAGGCTGCAGGGCAAAAACAAAACACTTTAAATGAAATTGCAAAAAGAAAGAAGAAGAAAAGAGCGAACACACACACACTGCCGACTAGCTTTAATCAGTTGCCAGACTAGGCACACGAGGTTCTTTCTTTTTCCGCTTTTTTTATTTTTCTTGCACTGTCCGTTTTCAAAGTTTGCAGATGGCAACAGCATTCGTTTTTTACTAGTTTTTTTATCAACAAGGAATCAATTTTGTCTTGCCCAGTACTTGACCAGTCTGTTTTGTAGAGGGCAGTGTTTACATTTCTAAAAAATGTCAGTGAAGAATGACACTAGCGTTATGTTTTAATTGTTGACGGGCAAATTGCAGACAGTTTGTTTGTCAAAAGAAGTTGTTTTGGCCGATGTCTATGCCTGTGCAAATTAGCAGTTGTTGCCGGTAGTGTGTGTGTGTGTGTGTGTGCTAACAACAACAGAGGAACTTACTGAAAGGTCAAAGTGCGTCCGCTGAGCTAACAGTGTAGACAAAATTTTGCACAATTTCATTTCAGAACATCGACACACTGGACAGCAGTTTACAGAGAGGGCGTCAGTTCTCGGTAAAACAATTTGCAATGATCAGCTTCCCTTCAGTTTGGCTCAGTTTTATCTTTCCGTTCAAATGTGTGCCCATTTCTGAGGAGGTATGTGTATTGCCGGCTAAACCAACAACCAACAAACACAATCGCAAGCACACACACTAAACGTTGGGCTTGTTATTACTGTGGACATTAAATGTGCGTCAGCAAAAGTACAAACAAAGTAAACTGCCGGCCAACTGTCTGGTCAACAAGAACTGGTGATCAGCACTGCGCTGGCACTGCTCTGCCACACAGCTGACGACGACGACGCATCAACTGCGTAAACATTAAACTGTGCACACTGGAAGGCAAACACACACACATAGGCCTACTAAATTGACTGTGTAATGGTGGTGGTGGTGATGGTAGTGGTCAGTAGGGGCTGATTTGCCAAATATTCATCAACAGTATTTCTTCAGCAAGTTCTAATTTTTGCCCATTAACAGGCACTGCCTCAATAATCGGTGTCCGCATTGCAACCCCCGGCCCCTAAACCAACAACGACACCAGCACCGGCATCATTAGCAGCAGCAACAGCAGTGCTGTCATCAAAAGTGTGAAAAGAAGACTTTGTGCTTCGTTTTGCTAGCCACCCTAACAACCTCAGCGACCTCAGCTCACCTCCTAGTCACAGTCAAGGACAGGAGAAGGCGAAAACGAGCTAGCTAGTTCAGCTGTCATCATCATAGTTTCTGTCACCCTCAAATTTGAGTGTTGGTGGAGTGCTGGCAAAAGAGTCATTTGCTCATATCACTCAAGCGACGCTTAGCGACACATATTGCCCCTGCAAACTTCAGTTTTGGGCAGTCCGGAGCTGTCCGCCATTGGCCACTTTTTGTTGTCGTTGTTGAATAATGTAATAAAATAGAATAAAAAGTAATTTTTCTAGTTGTGCATTTTAATGGTACTGAGTGGAATGCCATCACCGGGTGCAGTGTGCTTGAGAGTGCTTGTGTGTCTGTGAGTGAGTGAAAAGTGAACACTGTCAGGGAGATCTCTGTCAGCAGTGCTCAGTGGCTCAATGAGCCTGGGCAATGAGTGGTCAGCAGAGCAGAGTGGCAACTCCTCACCGCCGCCACCACTCAATGGCAGCAGTAAAGGGTCGCAGGCAGTAAAGTGTGTTTCACAATGCCCCATCGAAAGGGAGACACTTCAAAATGCATGAGGGTTGTGCTGCTGCTGTTGTTGCTGCTTCAATTGCAATTGCCTGCAGTTGTTCTATTGTCTGTCTGAGCAGTGGTCAGCGTCAGTGTCTGGCAATGGCAATGACCATTGCACCCACCAGTGTCAGTGTACTGCACCGACAAATACAGCAAACCAACACTGCAACTGATGATGAGGAATTTACGGCACTGTTCAAAGTTCGGGCACTGTTTGTCGATCGGACTAGTTGGCTATTGACGGAGTTTCTTTTTTACTAAAATTGATGCTGTTGTTAAATTATCAAAAACAAAATAAAAGATCAGTAAAACTTGTGTGAAAGTTGCTAACTTCCAAATATATGGAATTCAGAGCAATGAATTCAGTTTTTATTTTATAACTCATTTTATTTCTGTTATCAATTTACAAATGCTTGTCTGAGTAAACAGAAAATAAATTGACTGCCCACTGCCCAATTCACACAGTGTGCAGTGTTTGTTTTTTATTGTTTAAAATCATATTCAATGATTCCTCTCATGCAATTTTCCTAACACACGCAGACGAACAGTCGGCAACTTGGACATCCACTGCTGACTGAACTTTGTTCAACACTCAATTGACTGATAGACAAACACATGCAGACTATCCGACACAACTACTCCAACACTGGACACACACTGCTCACATTGAACATTGCACATTGAACTGATCAATGCCGACACCAAAGTAGACAGTGGTAAGCGTTTGAGGGAATGCGCCCTGCATAGTCAGTGCAGTCAGCGGCAGCAGCAGTTCAAATTCAATTTAAACAACAACAACAAAAATAAGAACAACAGTCCACTCATTTTGCAGTGACTCGCAAAAGTTACATTAAAAGTTAATTTGTATTCGAAAGGAAAAACCATTAAATTGGCATCAAAAGTTGAGTTGTTGCCTCTGCTGCTGCTGCTGCTGCCGTTGTTGCCACTGCTGCCTGCCACGGCTGTGCCTTTTTAATCGGCAATTTATTCGGCCTGTGCTGGACTGCGCAATGTCGAGCACTAAAAAGTGAAAAAGAAGATGAAGAAGGGGAACAAGGGCAGACTGCTTTGTGAGTAAGTGAGTGAAGCACAGGCAACCGACACGCCGGTCACATTGCGAAACCGTCAACTGCCTGACCAAATCTGCTACAGAGCTCCATTCAAAAACCCACCCGACGCAATCTTTTCTTCATTTCTCATTGCCACCTTTTTGACCTTTAGGTCACTTAGCTCACCGATTTGCTTTCCCCCGCATCGCATGAGGCCAAATAAGAGGAAAAGAGCTTAAGAAGTTTGCCAAACAGTGAGAGAAAAAGACAACCGAACTAAAGGCAAGAGTGAAAGGTCACCCTTTATTGGCAAAAGCATACACTGCTCCATCAATCCTTTCACATCTGCCCTCATCCCTTCTCTCTCTTGCTACCTCTCAACTGCTCAACTGACTGCTGAAAAGTGAGTGAGCTGCAAAGTTGTTTCACAATTCAGTTGGAAAGAAAGATCCTCAAACAATTGGCACTGCTGGCATGCTTCGTGCACTGGGCACTGTTCACAACGTTGTAAGAAGTAGCAGAACTTTTCAGCAGCAGACAAACAGACACAGACACAGACACACATACATTAAAGTAGTGGAGAGTATGTTTTAGAACGATGAACGATTACAACAACTGCGGCGTTGTAAAATTAGTTCTAGCACATCAAAAGCGAGGCTAGGGAGGAGGGAGGGTCACTGCCACCATCACCCTCATTCAGCACACACACACACACACATTGACAGAGGAGCAGTCAGTCAGCAGAAGAAAAAGAGAGAGAGAAGGAGAGAGAGGCCATATTAATAGTAATGAAAAATAGTAATACTTTATAGCAAGTTGCAGTTGTAATAATAATAATAATAATGATAATAAAAACTAAATTCGCAATGGTAATTGCCCTCGGACGCTGCTGCTGTTGTTGCTTTGCAGTGGAAACTTTGACTGCCGTCTCGGCCAGCACAATTGATGGCCAGACCGGATAGAATAGTGCAGTGCCAGATGCCACAACACAGCAGACATTTGTGCAGCACACTGTTCACTCACTCACTCGCTCAGACCGATCACAGACCAACCAAGAGGCTCAACAGATCAACAGACATCAGACTGGGACGGAGACCCAACACTAACAAGGACCCAGCACTAACATTGACAGTTCAATTGCTGAAGTAGTAGTCAAATGCGGGATGATGGAGGAAAGCGTGAAATGGAAAAGAAAG